ATGGCTGAACCTGTCTGAGCCCAAGCTCTTAATTGCTTGACTCTGCGCAGAGGTGAAGCCCACCCAGCCCTGTCCTCAGGGTGCTGAGGGTCTGGTGTTACAGGTTGTGTGGCAGCCTGGCCGCAGTGGATGGAGGCGGGGCCTCAGTGGAGCTGTGAGCACTTAGCCAGAGGCCACAGAGAACGGAGCCACGAGTGTGGCCCACGGGAGGGGTACGTGGACGGTGTAGCCTTCAAGCAGGGCTGAGGTTGGGTGTTGCATGGATGGAGGACCAGAAGCTCACTTGGCTCTAAGGGGGGCTGTGGGAGTCAAGGCTGGAGTAATCCCTGGCTGAGGATTTGGTATTTCCCAGCGCTGGCATCAGGGAGCCCTGCAGGTGTGATTTGTGGGGCGGCTGCATGGGAGGGGCTGTCAGTGCTGAGAATGCTGTGTGCCTACTGCGAGCTAATGCCTGGCACCTGCCGTGTTTCCTTCAGTCCCGCGACCGGGGGGGTAGGTTCTGCCATGACCTCATTTTGCAGGTGAGGAAGCTGAGCTTCAGTGGGGGAGTGATGGACACAAGGCTACGTAGCTGGCAGGTGACAGGGCTGTGATTGCAGCTGAGGCCCATCAGGTGCAAATAGCTGTCCCGGGAGGGCTCATGGAATGGGCCAGAGGAGTGAGGGGGAGAGCCTTGTCTCTGTGCTGAATGCCCGCGTGTGCCAGGCCTGCGAAGGGGAAGAGTGCTGTGCACACTTTGCCTCCCCCCAGCCCCTGTCACTCTGTTAAGCCAGGTGTAGCTGGGCATAAGTGATGGAGGCACCACTGGAAAGGAAGGCTGTGAGCCCTGGGTAAGCACTCCAGCCCTTGGGCCTCAGTGTCCTCATCTGTTGACTGGAGACCACAAACTCTCTAGGGACTTGGGGATTGTGTGAGAGAAGTGACAGGGAGTGAGTGACACATGGCAGGTTCAGGCTCAGCACAAACCCCTGGTGTGGAGTCACGCATAGACCAGGCTGCTGCTATTGTCCAGGATACTAAGTGCCTGGCCCGGCGCCTGCACGTGGAATTGGGGTTGTACTGGCGCCCTGACGCTGCTTTGAGTCGGTATGGAAGGTCTCCCTGGGCTCCTTGGGGCCTTCCAACCCCACGGCAGTCAGAGCTGGTTGTGGGCCAGCACGGGGGAGGAAGTGTGGCCGTGTGGCATGGCAGCAGAGCCTCTTTCTGTTCCTGGGCCTATTTTAAGGTTTGTGGGTTCCGGCCTCTACCCGTTCCTGGGGATGGAGCAGCCCAGGAGGCTTTCTCCTGAAGCTGAGACTCTGGGTCCTTTCGGGGGAACCGGAGGATGCTGGACCTCACACTTTTCAAGAGGCTGAGGACCACAGCTGCACGGACGACTCTGCAGTGGCCGCGTAGGCACCCCCAGCCTGGGTGAGGACGCCGTGCTGCCCTGCTCTGCCGCCTTGAGGAGTCATTTCCGCCTCTGGCTTCCAGCCTTCTGCAGAGGAACTTCCACAGCATGTGCTGTCCCCTCACTGTCCTGGGTCTCCTTGCCTCCTGCATCCAGCTGGGGAGGCTTGTATCAGCCACACCGTGAGGCTGCTGAAAAGAAACCCCAAGCAGGAGACTTGTTAAAAAACATCCTCGGATTTCCCAAACAAATTGTTTTCCAGTATAAAAAATGTTACATGCATGTTACAGAAACTGAAAATAGAAGAGAGAGGAAACAATTATTCCTAGTTCCAATTACCCAGAGACACACTATTAACTTTGCAAAGTCCTGTCCTCTGATCTTTCTAGAGGCTTTTAAAAGAATACTTGATTTCCCTATACAGGTTTCTTAATCACGCTTTTTCACTTAAAGTTCCTCAAACATTTCCCATGTTGTTCAGACTCTAAACATTACGTGACTGCCTGAGAGTGGGGTGGGCACGCGATGATTTACTTAATTGGTCTCATGTGGTTGGAAACAGCTTGGCTCCGGTTTTCAGTGTTCTCAGTAACGCAGCAGAGCTTTCTCATATGTGCAGAGGTGACTGTGTTTGGGTCATGTCTTTAAGCTAGCAACCTGGGAGGCCCCCAAGGACAGGGGTAGGACCGTAGGTGGAAGGTGGGTATTTACTGGGCTTCAGATGGACCCTTTTAGACAGCTTGTGTGGACTAGGAAGGTGAGGCTCGGAAGGTAGTGATGGGCTTCCCAGCCCAGGGCGTGCAAGGAGCTGAGAAAGGACCAGCCTCAGACTAGCCATTGGGCCTGTGCCCTGCCAGTCTGTGACTCTCCAACCTCATCATCTCACCCGAGAGCTCTCCTCCTGGGGTTTCAGGCTTGTCTTCCCAGAGCAGGAAGCAGAGGCCCCCTTTTCCCCCTCCGAGGAACGCAAGGCTTGGGAGCTGAGCCCTGAGCACAGGCCAGGCCGGCACCCCACCTGTACCCGCACACACACGGACCTTCCACTCCTGGTCACCCCTCACTCTGGGCCACCCCAGCTTGCTGGGGCCTCAGAGACAACAGGGACGTTTGCCCCTCAGGGTCAGTACACATGCCGACCTTGGCACCCAGCCTATGCCAAGGCCCCCGGGTGTCAGAATTCAACCACAGGGCTCACAAACTGAGCTCTGCAAGTCTCAGTCCAGGCTCTCCCTGATAGGGTTTGAGTTTTGGGGAAGCCCTGGTGGGTGGCAGCAGCCCCCATGCTGTGCTCTGGAGGCCCTCATCCCTCTGACCCCTCCCACATGCAGTGTTGGGCTAAGCAGGGCCAAGTGGGACTTGTAAACAACATGTCATCTAATCTCATAACCCCCGTCAAGGTGGGAGTTAGCCCGTGTCTTACAGGGAAGACCAGAGGCTCAGAGGGTTAGACAGACCTTCTCTGTCAGTTGTTTCCAGCAGCTTGGGTCTACTGCACTCAGCTTCCTAGGAGGGCAGAGCTCTCTGCCCATCCTGCCCACCCTCCCAGTGTCCTGAGAGCAGCCACCAGGTCCCCTGGTGAGTCAGAGCCCAGCGCAGGTTCTGCCTCCCAGGTGGGCACCAGGGCTGTTCTGCAAAGTCAGTCTTTGAAGCATGTTCTGACCGGATGTGATTTCCCGGGCGTTTCAGGTGACATCCGCTTCTGGGCCTTTATGGCTGCAGCTCCTGTGCTGAGGGGACCTTTCCCACCCATGCCTACCGACTCCTTGGAAGAGGGGCTGCATGCCCTGTGTGGCCTGTGCTGGGGGACTCCGCCCAGCCTGTGCTTCCTTGTTCTGCTTTGAACCTCAGCCTTCCCCCTCTGGAACACCCTGCCTCAGTCCACCCACCCGGTACTGCACTGTGTTCAGAGCACAGAACCCTGGGGAACTTTAAAACAAAATGCCTGCTCCTTCCCCCAACCTGGGCATCTGAGGAAAGATCTTCCTGGGTGGGCCTGGAGCTGTGATGTAATGCATTCCCTGTGCCTGGGTAGATGTATCAGCCTGGGTTGGTGGCCACTGGACTATCTGTTTGCCACCCCTGCCCCCATTTGATGGATGGGGCCACCAAGGCTCAGAGCAGGAGGGGACTGGCTGTGATGCCCTTCCTCCACCTTCCTGATCTGGCCTGCCCCCAGCCACCTGTCCTTGGACCCACCTGAGCCCCAACAGTATGAACCTTAGTGTCATTGACATTGACACCTGGCAGGAGGTGGGTGGAAAATCAGTGTTCCATGGGATCCTTTCCTCACCCTAGAGATACCTGTGCCCCTGAGTCAAATTGAAGTCTGCACATCAGTGAGACAGAGGCTGAGGTCAGGTACAGAGCCCTAGCTCAGCCCCGCCACATGTAGAGACAGTGGGCCAGCCTCTCCTCGAGCCAGTTCCGGCCCAATCTGCAGGATGGGCATTCTCCTGGGAGAAGATCTGACTCCAAGCTTCTTGTGCCTGATGAGCTTGGCCCTCCCAAGGTAGGGTGGCAGTTTGCTCTCAGTGTCCCCGTCAGGCAGCAGAATTCCTGCTCAGGCAGCAGAATGTCCTCTGGGTTACGGCATGTCCTGGAGGAGCTGGGATGGAGCAGAAAGGGTCCCAGAATTTAACCAGCCCAGCCCTGTCACTGACACAGACAGGTAAGGGAGGCTCTGAGTGAGCCCTGACTGGCTCAAACAGGATGACGAGTCAGGAGCGCTGGCTGCCTGATCTCACCAGTGCCACCTCTTGCCCTGTGGTGCAGGTGAGGAGACCCAGGCCTGCGAGCAACAGGCAGAGTTCCCTTCCTCCATGTGTCCGGTATCTTTATGTAAAAATGCTTTATTATTGGGATGTGCTTTGAATCTTGAAAAATGCCTTTCATACTTGGAGCAACACTTATGGCAGAAAAAGCGGAGAAAAGCAGAATACCAATCTACTTTTATGAAGTGCATGAATTATCCGTGTAATTATGATAGAAAAGTGCTGTCCTGTACACCCTGTGTGTCCTCACAGCAGTGCTGAGCAGAAGGCAGGCGAGGTGTTGTCCCCATTTACAGAGGGAAACCGGGCTTCGGAGTGATAGGCGGTCCTGGGGTGAGGTGGCCCCGGGCTGGGCTTCTGCCTTCTAGTTCTTTCTGAAACCTTGCTTCATAGGCACCTGGCCACTTTCCAGCAGCAGCAACCGTACAAGACCCCTGTGCCTGTTAATTTCTTGCCTTCTCTGCAATTTCTGCCCCTGAGGGTGCACTTTATGGATTTGTAGTCACCATTGCCTCATTCATGGAGGTCGTATTTATTGAGCCCTGGAAATGCAGTGCTGAATTAGGATTGATCCTGACTCCTGGGAGCTTGGCGCTCACTGGGGAGGGTGTGGTGGCAGGCCGGTACAGGGTGATCGTTCATGCCTCTGGCTTCCTGCTCCCCCACTCCACTTGCCCACCCCACAGCTGTGTATCCTGTCCACACACATCGCTGGGACCAGTCGAGACACGGCTCAGATCTCCAGGCCCCACTGCCAATGTAGGAGATGAAAAATATCTTTCTTCTCACCTTAGGTTCACTGCTGAGGTTCCCATAACAAAAGGCAGGTTAACAAGAGAAAATGGTAATTTCATATGAGTTTTACTTGATACAGGAGCTTTCATTAGGAAATGATCCAAAGAAAAGGGCTGAACATGTGTATTTTCTTTTTTTTGAGACATAGTCTCTATCATCCAGGCTGGAGTGCAGTGGTGCAGTCTTGGCTCACTGCAGCCTCCACCTCCAGGGTTCAAGTGATTCACCTGCCTCAGCTTCCCGAGTAGTTGGGATTATAGGTGCCCACCACCGCCTCCAGCTCATTTTTATGTATTTTGAGTAGAGATGGGGTTTCAACATGTTGATCAGACTTGTGTTGAACTCCTGACCTCAGGTAATCCACCCGCCTCAGTCTCCCAAAGTGCTGGGATGAGAGGCGTGAGGCACCGCGCCTGGCCTCAACTGTTTATTTTCTATGCTAGGTTTGATAAAGAAGCAGGTAGTTGTGGAGCAGTTCGGATAAAGAAGTGTGACCTGGTGAAGCTTAGCGAGGTCTCTTTGTTGAGATTCTTCCCTCAACAAATCCCTGCGTCTTCAGAGATGAGGATGTTCTTTTCCCCTGGACATAGAGAGGGTGCCTCTCACATGAGGGTCTTATGACCTGCTTCAGGGAGAAGGGCAGGGAGAGGGTGAGAGGACCTTTCTGCTTCTGCTGGTTTCTCAAATGCCAGCGTGTCGTATTTTGGGGTAGCGTGGCCTGAACCCCATCACCTACTTCCCTGGGACATCTGCTCATACCTGTATGTGTCTCGGGCACCTCTAGCTCAGCTTGACTTGCTGCCCGCCCTGTGCATACGTCAGGAGTCAGCCCTCCCTTGCCCCTCTGCCAGACTGTGCCTGGGCTGTCTCCCCTCTGCACCTGCATTGCCCCATATGTCCCCACTCTGGCCATTCCTGACTGTCATACCCTGCTGCTCACACCTCTTACTTTCTTTTGACGTGGAGTCTCACTCTAATATTTAGCCCAGGCTGGAGTGAAGTGGTGCAATCTCAGCTCACTGCACTGCCCCTCCCTCACCCCCACCCCGGTTCAAGAGCAATTCTCCTGCCTCAGCCTCCTGAATAACTGAGATTACAGGTGCCTGCCAACATGCCTGGCTAAATGTTTGCATTTTTAGTAGAGACAGGGTTTTGCCATGTTGGCCAGGCTGGTCTTGAACTCCTGATATCTGGTAATCCACCTGCCTTGGCCTTCCAAAGTGCAAGGATTACAGGCATGTGCCACTGCACCTGGCCCATGCTTACACCTTTAAGAACCTTTTGATGTCTGCCAGGTATATAGTCCAAGACCCTTGGTGACCTGCCCAAGCTGACCCCCTGAGCTCCAGCCATAAGACTTATTGGAGAGGTTCCCTGAGGGCCCCTCCACACTCTGCCTGGAATCACCCTCCTCCTGTTGTTGAGGGTGTAGGTGGGGGGCTTAGCTCTCAGCTCTAGGGCCCTTCCGTGACTTCCTCCTGACCCATTGGTAGAATCCGCCACCCCCTCCCCCCCTTGTTCTTTGTGGTACCTGTCGATTCCTGCCCCAGGGCTGTGACACTGCACAGTCCCCTGTGCATAGTTCCTGTCCCTGTCTTGCTCCCTGAGCTCTGGCTCTGCTTCCTTTGCACCAGCTCAAAATAGATGGATGCCTTGGTGCAGGCCCCTGGGAGTGGCAGGGGGAGCTGCCGAGGGTCGCGTTTGTAGGGTGTGAGTGGAGAGGGCTCCTTCTGGTGAAGAGGTGATCATTTGTTGGGGAGCTGGCCCTTGAGTGAGGCATTCCCCACACAGGGCCCGTCCTGAGCAGAGACAGCGGGAAAAGGGCAGGGAAGGTTCATGCTGTAATTTGATGAGTGGCTTCCGGGAAGTCACTGTAACCCTCTGGGCTCCGTTCCCCTTTGCAGAGTGGGACTGCTTACTGCTGTCTCTACCTGCGGGAGGGGGCGAGGGTCAGACCTAGAGCCTCAGAGCATGGCATGCAGAGCTGTACCTCAGTTTCCTTTGATGAAGTAGGGAGAAGAGGGTTGATCTGGTCACTGCTCACAGCCAAGGTTCTGGGACATATGTTCACCGGTCCACACGCTCAAGCACTTGAAACCAAGCCACTTGTAAAAAGCACTGTGGACAGGCAGGAGCAGCTGCTCAGGGAGGTTGGCGCTGTGTGTGCTGGGGTTTGAAGGAAACAAGCAAGAAGAATCACATAACACACTGGCCCCACAAAATGGAAATCAGAACCCTGTTGTCCCACAACCCTGCGAAGAGCTGTGACTTCACACTTTGGGCCGTAGGTTTCCTACCCCACACCCCCAGCTGTATTGGCAGGTCCATCCTGGCAGCCCACAGGCTGTCTGCATTGGCTGGTGCTGACCCGGGCCATCCCTGAAACTGCACCTGCCAGGGGTGTGGGGATCTAGGATTCCAGGTTTCTCCTGATCCGGGGAGGAGAGAGCTCGTTAGCTGCTGCTCAGCTCCTGCAGCAAAGCCCAGTGAATCAGCCCCAGCCGAAGCCGCCGTTCTGCTTCAGGGTGCAGGGATGAGGTCATCTCTATGAGAGGCTGCGACAAGAAGGCTCTGTGTCCAGGATCCTTCCCTGAAGTTCAGCGGGGCCCATTCTCTCCCTGGGACGGTCAGAGCCAGAGCAGCTGCCATCCCTTTACGGAGGGGATTTCATTTCCACCAGTATTGTGTCGGCAGCATTTCATTCTGATGACAGCCCGGTGACGAGAAGGGCATTGTCCCTGTTGGCAGAGGGAGACAGTGGGACTTAGGCAGAGCACTTGTGCAGGGTCCCATAGCAGCAGGGGGTGTTGGACCTCATTATCCTGGACTCAAGGCTGGAGCTGCCCTTCTCATGCTCAGATATGCCCCTTTCTCCAGGGAAGGGTGTTTGATGCCTTTTTTTTCTGGGTGGGCCTGTCCTGGCATAGTGTAAGAGAGCCCAGCCCTCCTGGTTTTCACAATGAAGGGGGTCTCAGAAGTCAGAGTAGAGGAGGGCGAGGAATGAGGGTTAGTGCGGGAGAGGACGCTGCCTGCAGAGAGCAGGGGCCTGAGACCCCTGGGAAGGCAGAGCAGCAGAAAGGCCCAGAAGGTGCCTTGCATGCATCTTTGTGCTGTGTGGTGTGTCATCACCTTGCACCTAGTACTTGTGGGCCTGCACACTCTGCACCTGCGTGGGCCAGGTGGTGGACGCAGGGGTGAGTAGCACTGGGCAGACAGGTCCAGCTGTGTATCTGGCTCCCAGCTCAGGGCCTGGGCAATGAGTGGGGAGTGGAGGAGTGGGGGAGTGAGGGAGTGGCTGAAGCACGTGGCCTGAGTTCCTCCACCGGAGTTTGGCGTCTCTGCAGATACTGTGAGCTGGCTGGCGTGGGTGGGCCTCAAGGCTCAAGGGTTCTGTGACTTCCTCGTGATTTCCAGCCACAGAGCATGTTGACATGGAGGTGGGAGGAGATGGAATGATGACTGGGCAGTGGCTGGGTGACCTCAAGCCCAAGCAGTGAAGGAAAGGGCGGGGAAGCTGGTGGTGCCGGCTCCTGGATGAGATGGGGCACCTTTGCGTGGGTGTCAGGAGAAGCCTGAGAAATTAGGAAGCGGTGAGCTGGTTGTGTAAGAGGCCATTTTCTGTGTCTGAGTGGAGTCGTGAGTTAGGAGCTTGGATAAGGCCCCCACGAGGACGATCTCACAGACGATGGGAATTTGAATCTGGAGCCACTGTTGCGGCTTGATGATGGTGCTCGGGAGATACTGACACTGTCTGGAAACAACTATGTGGTGTGGGCGGCAGGTGCAGGGTCACAGGTGTGGGCAGGGGTTTGTGGGAGTTGCTGCTTGGAGGAGGATAAAGGACGCTTTATGGGAGCTCCGATCCAGCAGAGCCTCTACCCCATACAAGGCACTTCGAGGTCAGGGTCAGGGTTTCTTCCCCTTTGTCCCCCAGGACCTCACGCAGTGCCTGGGGCAGAGCTGGCCCACAGAATTGGATGTGAAGCCCAGCCCCCACCAGCTTGTAGGGTACCGAGACTTAAAGGCCTTGGTTTCCTTAACTGTAAAACGAGGCTCTGAGGAGGTCACAGATGTGGTCTGGGGTTGCGAAAGCACTGCAAGCATTTCCCTACGTTGTGTACGTTTAAGACAGGCCCATGATTAAAGTTCTGCCTGCCAGCAGCTGGGGCGGGGTGGAGAGGCTGCTGTGTGTTCTTTGAGCGCACTGAGCATGGGGCTCGCCGTGTCCTGTGTTTATTTGTTGTCGTTCGCTGACTCCCTGCGCTGGATTTCAGATGGCCCTGCCAGTGAGGGGCCTTGTCTGGGTTGGGAGGAGCCCTCAGGACAGGTAGTCAGGAATCAGTGTGCCAAGCCCATAGCGTGGTGCTGGGAGTGGCTCTGCAGGCAGGTGGGGCTGTGGCCTGGCCCTGCCCCGTGCCAGCAGAGTGACTGCAGACCAGGTGCTCATCAGGAACTATTCTTACCTCTCAGGATCTTTGTGAAGATCGAGGGAGGCAACGTGGTCAGGTGTGCGTGGGCACTGGCAGCACCTGGGATGCCCTGGAGGGCCACAGCTGGGTCAGGGAAGCCAGTGCCAGGGTGGGGAGGTAAGGAGGGCACCCGGAGGGGGTGGCAGCAGAGGTCAGCTTTGCCTGAGCTGACTTGCACTGGCCAAGTGGGAATGGGCTCTGTGCCAGTGTCCTGTGCCCTGTGCCCTGTGGCGTGGTCAAGACCTGGTGGTCTTGACCTGGAAGCAAGGCCTTTCAGGGGCACACACGGCGTTTGGTCGGGGAAGAAGGGCCAAGGCTGGCCAGGACGTCAGGGACCACACGGTAGATGTCGGCGGTTACCTGGAGAGCATGGCAAGGGAGCCTCGGCTTCTTCCTGAGGAAGATGTGGAACCAGGCAGGGGTTTTCGGCTCGCACTGTGGAGACCCCACACTTCCTTGGTCAGAGGAGCGGGCCCAGCCGTGGCCCCTGCTCACGTGGGGACACATTGGTCCAGCTTCCTTCCTCCACGTGTCTCGTCAGGGCAGCCAGGGGCCTCCCTTTGTCTTCTGTGCCACGAGGGAGGGAGGCCCTCAGCTGGAGAGGCCCTGGGAGAGGCTCTGGGAGGCACGAGTGGATGAAAGGCCTATTGAGGGGCCACAGAAGCCCATTCATCCAGCCCTGGCTGCCTGGGTGCAGAGGCTTCCAGAGGGCCAGGGGCCTCCTGGACTCTCCCCAAAGAGGCCAGCTGACCCCCAGCTTTGAACCGTGGCCAGGGCCAAGTGGAGTCTGTTGCTGAGGCCGGTGTGCTCTCGAGAGGCCCTTGACCAAGACAGTCCTGGGACAGGCCCCTGGCACCTGCAGGCGACCCCACAGCAGAGATGCCTTCTCAGCCCCTCCCCACCAAACCCTTCCGAGTCTCCAGGCCTCTGGGGATAACATAGAAGCCCTGACCCACTGAGGAGGGCCTGGCCCCTCCAGCTCTGCTTCCTACTCCACGTCCTTGGCCCCAGGCTGCTCCACTGTCCTGGCCTCACCAGTCTGTCCCCAGTGGAAAGTTGAATTCTGTCCACCTTTGCCTGCTTGACCCATAATTTTCCTTGAGTCCCCAGCTGACTGGCATTCCCTATCCAGCCACCTCCTTCCCCTCCCGGCCCCTGCCACAGCCACCATCTCACTTCTATATGTGTTACTTACCAATAAATCCTGCTTCCCCTGAAGCTCTGGCGGCGGGGCAGGGATCGCATGAGATCCTGCTCGCCTCCGTGCTCTGGTGAGGGACGCTGGGAACCGGCTCCAAACTGATGCGAGGGTGAGTGGGTTCAAGCAGCAACTCCAGCCAGCCGCGGAGCCGGGCAGTCTCTCCCTCCTGCCGTGTCCTCATTTGTAAAATAAAACTTGCCTCAGTTGTGAGATCAAGAATGCCAGGCTCCAGTGTTTAGTGCCGTGCCTGGCACACAGGAAGCCTGGGTGTATTTGTAAACATGCCACAGAATATTTGAAAAACAGGATAAAGTGATTCTGGCTTCACTCCATTTTGTGTTTGTTGCAGGGTGAGGAGCTGTGCGCTGCACCACTCTTCACCCCGCACTGGGCATGTTTCCTGCCATTCCTTCCGTCTTTCCTCCTGGGCATGTTTTAAAATAGACAGTTTCCTTCCTTTAAGTATTTACGTGTAATTTTGTGTCCTGGCTTTTTCCCTCTACCATGAGCATTTTTCCAAGTGATTGCATTGTTAAAAATATTTTGATTACTTTTTGTATAGGTAAACTTGCTCAGGGCATGAAATACAGAAGGTGTGAGAAGGTTCTTAATGAAAACACGGAGTCTTCTTTCTCTCCCATAGTTTCTGTCTCCAGAGGCCAAGAGGACACTAGTAATAATGTAAATACTTTCCCACCCTGAGTGCTGACCCTGGGTGCTTATCTGGTGCTGATCCTGGGTGCTGGTTCAGTGCTGACTCTGGTTACTTATCTGAGGCTGATCCTGGGTGCTGGCTCAGTGCTGACCCTCGGTGCTCATCTGGTGCTGATCCTGGGTGCTGGTTCAGTGCTGACTCTGGTTACTTATCTGGTGCTGATCCTGGGTGCTGGCTCAGTGCTGACCCTGGGTGCTCATCTGGTGCTGATCCTGGGTGCTGGCTCAGTGCTGACCCTGGGTGCTTATCTCGTACTGATTCTAGGTGCTGGCTTGGTGCCAGCACAATTTTAAAGGCTTCATGTGGATGGACTAACTTCAACTCTCAACAACCCAGGAGGTAGATACCATTGTTACTGCCGTTTTGCAAGTCAGGAAACAGGCACCAAGAAGGTTGGGATTTGCCCGTCACATGACCAGAACTGCTGGAGCCAGGATGGACCCTGACAATCTGGCTTCCTCACCTCCCTTCTCTTCCACAGGCTCTAACCTCCCAGCCCACCAGTCCGCACTTCTGGGCATGCTCTGTGCATAGCAAGCGTCTGGGTCATCTTCAGTGACTGGCTTTAATGAGAAAACCCTCTAATGTTTGTCTGCTCTCCATCTCTCACTGCCTTTATCCTAGAGAACTTTCCTTCTCAGAACAGAGTCGCTTCAGTTGTTTTACCTGCTGCATACTGTTCTGTTCTGTGAATGTCTTGTAGTTCGTTTTGTAATTACTTCCCTTCTGATAGGGCAACTCCAGCATTTTGCCAACAGTGCTGTAATAAGAATTTTATGGGTGGTATGTGGTGAGGCCATAGGGAAAAATCCACCTGTGGGGTTGTGGGGCAGAGGTAAAGGGCGTTTGTGATTTTTGCTGTCTGATGTCTGGCAGTTTACGTTCCTGCTACAGGATATAAAGTCCCTATTTAAGTGTCATCAGGTATTTTTATCTTTGCAAATCTGATAGGTGGAAAATAGAATTTCGTGGCTTGAATTTACATTTCTCTAATTGTATCAAGTTGAGTGTCTTTTCGTGTTCTAAAGCCACTTATATTTCCTTCTGCTTTCTGTGCCATTTTATTGTGCATTGGTTACAACTTAGTATTTGTTAAGAAAATTGCCCTCATTTAAGAGTTTTGTCTGTTTTTCCAGTGTGGTATTTGTTTTGTGCTTTGCTTATGGTGTGTGTGTGTGTGTGTGTGTGTGTGTGTGTGTGTGTTGCAGGGGGCGTTGTGGGTATTTTTGTCCCCTATAGAAATTTTAAATTTTGAGCCAGGCATAGTGGCTTATGCTTGTGATCCTAGCACTTTGGGAGGCCACGGGGAGAGGATCGCTTGAGCTCAGGAGTTTGAGACCAGCTTGGGTGACATAGTGAGACCTTGTCTCTACAAAAAATACAAAAATTAGTCAGGTGTGGTGGCAGGTGCCTATAATCCCAGCCACTCAGGAGGCTGAGGTGGGAGGATCACTTGAGCCTGGGGAGGTCAAGGTTGCAGTGATTGTGCCACTGCCCTCCAGCCTGGGTGACAGCGTGGGACCCTGTTTCAGATAAAAAGAGAGAAATTTACAATTTTTATATAGTTTGATTGATCATTCTTCTCCTTAGTGGCCCTTATGTTTTCCTTAGAAACATATTTTATTCCCTCTCTGAGGGAATAAAAAATCCTCTCACGGCTTTTCTTTTTTATAGTTTTACTTTTAACGTTAGAAGTTTTAATCTGTTTGGAATTTATTTTGCCTTGAGAAGGGACCCAACCTTATTCTTTTTCCTCAGCAAACCACTTGTCCCAAAACCATGTGTGGAAGAAGAATCTGCATCCTATCGATCAGAAGCGCTATCTTCGTAAAAACTCTTGGCCAGGCGTGGTGGCTCACTCCTGTAATCCTAGCACTTTGGGAGGCTGGGGTGAGCAGATCACCTGAGGTCAGGAGTTCAAGATTAGCCTGGCCACTATGCTGAAACCCCATCTATACTAAAATAGAAAAATTAACCAGGCGTGGTCGCACACACCTGTAATCCCAGCTACTGAGGAGACTGAGGCAGGAGAATCGCTTGAACCTGGGAGGCAAAGGTTTCAGTGAGCCCAGATCATGCCACTGCACTCCATCTTGGGCAACAAGAGTAAGACTCCATCTCAAATAAAACCCCAAAAAACTCAGTTATTTTGTGATTGAGTTATGTGTTTTTGCTTTCTATTCTGTTCTGTTGATCTGTCCAATCATGTGCTGATACCACCTTGCTTTTGTTAATCATTTAATTCATTTCATTTCTTCCATTTGCAGATATTTCTTGTTTCCTGTTTGCCAGAAACCGTTCTGGAAACTAAGTGTATAGCAGTGAACATAATGCTGGAAGTGCTGGGATTAAAGACATGAGCCACGGAGCCCTGCCTAAACCATTCTTTATTCCTGATTAAATCTTGCTTGGCCAATGGCATATATTTTTAATAAGTTAATGGATTCTTTTAAATACTATATTGAAGATTTTTGTCTTGACATCCATAAGTGAGATTAGCCTGTACTTTTCTGTGTGTGTGGTCTTTGAAATCAATACTAAGCTTCCCTGTGAAAAAGAATTGGCATATTTCTTAGGCTCTAAAGTCGTGTGAGTAGCCCTGAAGCTAGCTGCCTGTTTCTTGTGGATCTGCTAGAATTACCTTCTCAAAATCACTTCTTGGCCCGGGAGAGGTGGTTCATGCCTCTAATCCCAGCACTTTGGGAGGCCAAGGCTGGGGGAATCGCTGGAGCTCAGGAGTGCAAGACCAGCCTGAGCAACATGGTGAAACTCGTCTCTACCAAAAATACAAAAATTAGCTGGGCGTGGTGGTCCATGTCTATGGTTCCAGCTACTCAGGAAGCTGAGGCAGGAGGATGCCTTGAGCCCAGGAAATGGAGGTTGCAGTGAGCCAAGATCACACCACTGCACTCCAACCTGGGTGACAGTGAGATTCTGTCTCAAAAAAAAAAAAAAAAAAAAAAAATTATGTCTTGTCCTGCTGTGCTAATATACTTTTTTGGGGCATAACTCTTGGACATTTTTCTCTATTTAATACAGAACCATCATTTTTAATGGCTATTAACTATTTTAATTAGGGTTTTACCATGACTTGCTTAACTTGTGTGATTTAATGGTTTAGAAAAGAATTGGTGTGGGTTTCAAGGAATGCCTTCTAAAATCTAATTCATGATGATTCCCAGGGTCTGGTTAATGGAACATATTCCAAGTCGTCATAGGAACCACTGCGGCAGTTGTTATCCATCGTTTCTGAGTGCCTGTTGCACTGCTGAGCCCTATTTGGTCTCCATGGTAACCATAGGAGGCAGCAGCTCTGATTTTACTGATGAGGAAACTGAGAGGTCGAGAGCTTAAGTAACTTACCCATGTGGGCCGTGCATCAGGAAGGGGAGTCCAGTCTGCTCTTGAACCTCCATTCTGAGGAAGTCTTCCCCCATCCCATATTCTGATTGGATTCATGTGAAAGGCCTTGAAAGATAAACGTTTCTCTTCCTTTTCAGTGTACCTCTGAAGAAGCATCTCCGTGGAAAATAATTAAATTATGTTAAATTGGCACTCCACTGAGAATTGGACTCCACAGCCCCTGTGCATGCAGCTCTTGTCCGAAGGTCTTCTAGGGGTTCCTGGGAATCCCAGGAAACCCTGAGGGTGCTTTAGGGCTCAGAGTGGCCCCTGTGAGCGCCCTACCCCCATGGGGGACTCAGAAGTTTGGGGAAGGGGAGGTTTGAAAGCCTAAGTTGCTTTCTTAGCTGTTCACCAGGCGATTCCCTGGTTCCCTTAGTCTCTGCATTTGTAACATAGCTGGGAGAATCCTTGTGCAGGGCCAGGCTAAGGATAAGGATGAGGGCTTATCCAGAAGAAGGATGTGGGCTCTGTTAGAGGGGCTGGGTTTGAGTCTCAGCTCCTGCATACATTATCTATGATGTATGATGTTAGAGGGGCTGGGTTTGAGTCTCAGCTCCTGCATACATCATCTAGCCACTAGAGTCTCAAGTTTTGGTTGAAAATGAAGACTGAAGTTTGAAACTAAGCTGAGGTTGTCCTCACCTCATACAGTTGCCATGAGGATCTGAAAAGACAATGGGTGAAAGGGCTTTATAAACTAGTGTAGGCTGGGCACAGTGGCTCCTGCCTGTAATCCCAGCACTTTGGGAGGCTGAGGCGGGTGGATCTCCTAAGGTCAGGAGTTTGAGACCAGCCTGGCCAACATGGTGACACCCCATCTCTACTAAAAAAAAAAAAAAAAAATTAAAAAAATTAGCTGGGCATGGTGGTGCATGCTTGTAATCCCAGCTGCTTGGGAGGCTGAGGTGGGAGAATCGCTTGAACCTGGAAGGCCAAGGTTGCAGTGAGCCGAGATGGTGCGATTGCACTCCAGCCTGAGCAACAAGAGCAAAACTCCGTCTCAAAAATAAATGAATAGGGCCAGGCGCGGTGGCTCACACCTGTAATCCCAGCACTTTGGGAGGCCAAGGCGGGTGGATCACGAGGTCAAGAGATCGAGACCATCCTGGTCAACATGGTGAAACCCGTCTCTACTAAAAATACAAAAAATTAGCTGGGCATGGTGGCACACGCTTGTAGTCCCCGCTATTCGGGAGGCTGAGGCAGGAGAATTGCTTGAACCCAGGAGGCGGAGGTTGCAGTAAGCTGGGATTGCG